GCAACTTCTCGAGCTTGAAACAACAAGATAAAATGAGTATTTCAAGAGATTTTAGTTGACCAATTTCCGATGGAAGATTGGGAAGATTTTTGCAACCTTTTAGATTCAACACAACTAGTCTCCCTAATTCCCCAATTGATCCACGAATCTTAATTAAAGTTATGCAATTTTTTGGAATCAATCTTTCAAAATTCGAGACTTGTGAGAAATCGGGCATATTGGTAAGGCCATGGGAATGACTGAGATTGAGGATTTTTAACAATCTGATTAACTGTATAAAAAACATAAAAGATATTAGCATAACACACTCAGCCAAGCATTTTACCAATGCACCATGCAATGGCCCATTTAGAAATTAGTATATATGATATTCATAGTAATCACTGAAAAAAAAAAAAAAAAAAGTTAGAATGGGACCTTGTTTCCAGTCCAAACTTGTTTCAAGCTACTATTGTGCATGTCAAGAGCAACCACACTCTCTAGAGGAAAGCAATTGGGTATAGATTCTAAAGGGAACCCACACCAACACAACCATCTTAACTTCCTGGGGAATTCTTCATAGTCTCCGGTGAGGTTTGTATAATTCAGATGGAGCAGTCTTAATTTGTACATGCTTGAAAATGCATCAGTTTGTAATTCTACTTCATTGATGTGGAATGTGATCCTATTGTGGCAGAATTTTTGGGACCCAAGAGAAGAAGCCTAGCCGCTGCTTCAATGCATTCCTTTTAGAATGTAATGTTGATTGTGAGATATATTTTTGTAATTGGCAAATTTCGGTAACAAAACAAGTCCTAGTCGAGTTGTAATTTTAGTTACCATATCAGACTCAACATCGACCGCGGAATTCAGAGGTTGTTCAGATGAGGAAAGTATTGTTGATCATCGAAAAGGAAAGAACAATACATTAGAACATCGTTTCCCACTTAGGACACAAATACCTATATGTTATATTTTTCAGAATTTCCAAAAACAGAAAATCTAAGTTTAAAGTGGATTCTGTCAAGTAGAAACTGGTACCTGAATTTGGGAACCAGTTCCAGAAGCTATGATTCGAAGAACTTCATTCTGTCCTTTGGGAACCGGTTCCAGAAGTCCTGTTTGCAAAAGGTTTTCAGTTATCTTGTTCTGTTTGATTCCTTTTTTATCCAACTTTCCTTCCAAGTCCTATGCACGAAATTTCCTTTATTTTCAAAAGGATTAGGACTTTGCAAATCTCTATATAAATCATGTCATACACATAGGTTTATTCAAGGCTTTTGATCTACAAATTCATTATTCTTAAAAGCCTTAGGAAGATTATTTTTACAGAAAATAAGAGTTGATTTTTTCCGTCATCTTTCTAGAATACATACACATAAACACATAAAGAGTTTAGAGTTGTGGTGTTCAAATCCTAATCGTGATCATACAGTTGCATCTACATCGATCAGACGAAATCAAATCTACTTCTATATTGAATTCAGATGATTGAAGAACAGAAGTAAAAGCGATCACACTTTGAAAGGGTTAGAGCATTTGAGAAGTGCTGTCTAATCTACCTGCTACTCTTCTATAAATACCAAACATAAGTCTGAGGTCAAGTTGATGTTGGACAGGGAGTTGCAAAGCCAGAGGATTATCAGCAGTTGGTATTTGGTAGAAGGATTAGGTGTGAGCCAGAGTCAAAATTCAGTATACTTTGTTTCAAGCATAGTGGATCGGTTTACTTTGGACTACACAGTCCTCTAGGTTTTTCCCATACAAACAGTTGATGTATTTTATCAACTGGAGTTTCCTCGCTAAAATCCTGGTGTCATCTCTAACTTTACTTTGCTTTATTTTATATTACATGATATTGATTTATTAATTGCAAAAATAAAGAAAGTTGGTAAAGACACAGATCTGTTTTAAACTAATCAAAACTTTCTAAGTATTTGCCACTGAGTACAACTTACATTGATTTTTCAAGAAAACCTTCAGAATGGTGTCTATTTGCATTATCTAAACCAAGGAATTCCTTGGTTGACCTATCTTCCTTAGGCACATTCAAGTTGAGGATTAGACCTTCAATGGAATTTGATCCCTGATTAGAGGACTTGAAAAATAAGCACACCTATTTAAAGATATATAATAAATTAAAAACAAATGAGGCAATGTTTATTTATTGCGGCTTTCCCTCACATCTACAGGTCTGCCAGCAAGAGAAGAACCCAACACTTCAAGAGCTAAAGGAAGCCCTACACAGTAGCGTACAACCCTTTCTGAGTGCTCCAAGTAAAATTCAATCGAATGATCTTGTCCAAAGGCATGCCAACAAAAGAGCTCAAACGATTCATCATTGTTTAATTCCTCAACTCTGTGCATCTTATACAATTCATGTGCCTTCAACAATTGCTCATTTCTAGTTGTTATGATAATTTTACTTCCTCGATAAAACCAATCTCGCATTATGAGTACTGCTTTTAGTTCGTCTGATTGCTCCACATTATCAAGAACAACTAAAACTCTTTTACAACAAATAACATCTCTAATCTTGATGATTCCTTCATCCATACTGCTGATTTTTTCTTCTCTCCCCTTTAGAATATCATAAAGAAGTAGTTTTTGTAAACTAACCAAACCATTTGGTTGTTATGATATTTCTCTAATATTTGCAAGGAAGCTGCTACCTTCAAATCTTTCAAAGTTTAGGTTATACACAGTTTTAGCGATGGTTGTCTTCCTAATTCCACCTATTCCACAGATTGTCAGTATGCCAACATCAATTGATCCATCTTGTATCCACGAATTTATGCCTTCTACACAGAGTATCTATTCCAATTGGGCGTGTGTTGATGGTGGTTCGTGAGTAGGATGAGGAGATCGTTCCACGTAAGTCAAGAAATCTGAGATCAGTATCCAAGTGGAGATCCAAGCGATACAAGGGACTCTTTGTACAGTAAAGATTAAGAAAGAGAAGGCCGACCTCGGTACCCAATGAACTCAAGCTCGGCAATGTTTGGTGGTTAGGGTCCTTCTCCTTTTAAAAGGCTGATTAATTCGCCTATTTATAGTGCTCATTCCCTCAGTCAATGTCTCTCAGTCCTTTGGGTGAGCCCGCTCTTGCCCAAGGGTTCGAGGGTCTCCCCTCCCGACTGATGGGACATTAACGGATGAACCGCGGTGTTTTGCCCCCCGGTCCAAAGAGGTAACGGCGCTCCTTAATTAATACAGGTCTTGTCAAATGTCTTTCGTAATTAATGCACTTTTTATCGTTCATAGCTTGAGCTCGGATACCGAATGTCCTTTCCCCCTTGCATCGGCCTCGGACTGAGGCAGTACCTTGGATCTCAGCCACCTGTCCACACGCCCTCAGATTCCCGAACCCACCATAGGAATGAGCCTACTCCAAGGTTCTGCCTTCTTGACCTCGTGAGGCCACATCCCGAGTCTATATTTCGGGGTCCCTCTATCCAAAAAGAGGGGATCTCACAAAGCAGAAAGCTCGAGGTCACTCCAGCAAGAAGCGACCTCGGAAGAGCAGGAAGGATGGTTGCTTCGGACGAGTGCGAGTGAGTTTTAGCACGAGCGAGTGCAAGGTGCTAGTGAGAGCGAGTGCGAGGCGCTAGCGCGAGCGAGTGCGGGGCGCTAGCGTGAACAAGCAAGCGTGAGCGAGTGTGAGGCGCTAGCGCGAGCGAGTGAGCGCGAGGGAGCTAGCGTGAGCGAGTGCGGGGCGCTAGCGCGAGCGAGTGCGGGGCGCTAGCGCGAGCGAGTGAGCGCGAGGGAGCTAGCGTGAGTGAGTGCGGGGCGCTAGCGTAAGCGAGGTGCTAGCGCGAAGGAGCGCGAGGTGGTAGCGCGAGCGAGCTAGCGCGAGATGGTAGCGCGAGCGAGCGCGAGGGAGTGCGGGCGGTAGCGCGAGGGTACTTGGTCATTTCAGGAGCACGCCAGATAAGTACTGGCCAGGTGTGCTTATTTTCAAAGGTAGCGCCACTTGAACAGCTAGTGTGGCACGATTATCAACACCATGCGATTCATTTTGTTGCTAATCTCTTTAACAATATTTTGAATAAAACTTGATTCTTTCCTACAAATTGAAAGGACAATGGATAAGTACACTTAAAACAACTTCCGTTAAATTAAACAACAAATGATGATTATATATATATATATAACAAATTACATGGGGTTCAATTTTGGCCATTACGATTCATATACAATAATATAGACTGTTGAATATTATGACAATCTCGAATCGACAGAATTACATAGATTATACAATGTTAAAGATATCTGACAGAAAGAAAATAAGAAAATACAAGAACATTCACAAAATTCAGATTCTAAGTCAAATAAGCAAGTTTATGAAAAGAGCCATGTTGTTCAGAATTTCAATGATATTTCCGGTCTTTAGGCCTCATCTACTTATTTCCAAAAAATTTAGAATCTTTATTCTTTCAGATTGCTTTTATATAATTTTAAACACCTTAAAGTTTAAGATACTGAAGCACTTTTAACTCATATCCAGCTTTTCTTCTTTTTATTTTGATTCCAGATATGTTTATAATTTGTTTTATACATATTATGACCTTCATAATCCTTGAGTTGAAAATAAAAAAGATTGAACATGTTGTTCGTTTTACCCTTTCATGTTCGATCCATCTTTTCTTTTTCCTCCTTTTTCTTTCCTTCTAAATAGAAATCTTCTAATGATCAAATCTCTATATCAATGGTGAAGTACATTCAATAAAGTCAAATTCTTAATAATGTAAGAAATCTCATATAATAAGTTTCTAGACTCAACATACAGTATTTGGACACCACTATACCATAAACTCTGAAATAAGACAGTAATAAAACATCACATTATATATCAAGTCTTCTGCATCTACTTTAACTATTCTATCAATTTTTGGATGGTGTCAAACTTTCTAATTTATAGGTACTTTGACTAAAAGTATTTATATTGTGTGTGAATTAAAAAAATAATAATAATAAATAATATATAGATTATATTTATAGTGTTTCAATATAAATTCGACTAGTTTAAAACATTAGCATTAAGAAATCATGTGGATAATGGGTACTATTAGCATCTAATGGCATAAATAATTTGGAAGTATTCAATCAATACTATTAACTCTTCAAGGAAATTACCCATCTATTAAAACCATCCCTGCCAAATCTGCTACTTCTCTAAGAGCTGCCTTCCATCTCTTTATCTTGTCCAACCACTCCTTTTATTTCTACTTTCTCTGCCTTAACTCGCTGTTCGTGTGTAGTAAAAGCATTTGCAAAACTCCCTGTCTGCTCTCTTACATTTGATGGATCCACGTGATAGAAGACGGGCAGAATCATATGACCAACAGTCTTCTTGTGCTCAAGGATATTCAGAAGCTCATCATCTTGAAGATGTACAGTCTTTTGAGAAGATAATTATTGAAATCATCGACTCTTGGATTGCCTTATTTAGTTCTAAATCGATATTCTGACCTCTCTCTAGTCCTTCATCATCCCTACACGTGCGTATTCTTGCACATTGTAGCGCTGTGTAAACGTGATCAGTGAAGATATTCTAGGTGTCTTCACCTCTAAAACTCAAGAACACATGATAAGAACATGCAGTTGGTGAGGCTTCTATGGCTCCAATAGCAGCCATTGGACAACACTGTAAGAGATCAATGAACAACATATAAATATGCAATCTGCAGTTTTTGTGTAAGATGTCAATAAATAAATAAAAAAGTAAAGTAAATTAAATCCCATATACAATCCAAAGTACATAAGGAAAATGCTTAAGGAGAGAAATTAAACCTGAGTCAAGGGTTAAATGGAAACACACGTAACCAAAAATCAAGACACAAAATGCTTCAAAGTGGCTTCACAAAGGTTTTAGCACAACTCAACTCAACAAAATTTCATCTCAATTATAACTTCAAAGTGGCTTTCACAAAATGCTTCAAAGTGGCTACACAAGAATCTTATTTTACCATTTGGCTCTTTCTAAGGTTAGTTAGTTTTGTCTTCTTTTCAATATCATTGCCATCGACGGAGATACTTGATCTGACAGAAAGATAAAAAAACCAAACCCAGTGGCTTGTTTCACATACAACAACAAAATAAAATTGATTAATGATCCATGTAATAAACTTGAAATATTAGGCAACATGAGTGTTCAATTGTAAAATGTTACCTGTAATTAGCAAAATCCCCCAAGAAATGGATTGATCGCTCCACTGAAAGATTGAATTTGTTATGCTCACTGAATCAAGAGAGAGGAAAGAGCAAAAAAGAAGAGTGAGAAAGAAGGGAAAGTGTGGAATGATAAAAGGGAAGGAAATACCCATTCGTGGGATCCACATGACTCAAATGGTTCTTGTTTTTATGCCCATAAACATCTCAACTATTTTTTTTGTATTATATATTACTTATATTACAAGACTTTTATCATAAGACACAACCTGTTTCTAAAACCCCAAACACTGTTAAGGTTATCAGTGAAATGATAAATTTAATTTTATTATTTAATATTAAATTAAAAATTAAAAATTATTATTTTTTAAATTATAAAAATCCCCTCTCACTTTTTTATTACTGTGTTTGCAATAACCATTGACACCCACCTCTGTATTAGAACTCGACGGATGTTCAAACAACAATTGCCTACATGTTGGACATGATGAGTGTGACACTAACCATGTGTTTATGCACTTTACATGAAAACTGTGATTGCATTTGGGCAGGACTCTGACCTTCCCTCCTTCACCAAATTCTCCAAGGCAAATTATACACCGCCACCGGAATCTAACCCACCGCATCCTTCTTCAGCCCCGCCGAGGCTAAACGCCCACCAACGTGATCTGGAGTCTCAAACCCAAACCTTGGGCTACACCGTAGAGCACAACGCACAATTGAGCACAACACACAATTGAGTTCAATTCGGTCACTTTTCCTGGTAGTTGTGGGTCACTTTGGTGGAAATCTTGAGTCGCAAACAGCGACCTAAGGCTTGAGAGAAGGACGGGGATGGTCCCTGTCCATGGAGAATCCAGATCACTGTCGTTGCTGCCGGAGACCCGTTTTGGGTCAATTCATGGTTCAAGTGGTTGATTCATGGTTCCAGGTCGCTTCCTTGTGCAACAATACATTTTCTATTCAGTTCGGTGACTCCACGCCGGCGGCGAGGTTGGCGGCAAGGAAGAAGAACATAAAATAAAAAAAGTTATTTTTGTAATTTAAAAAATAATACTTTTTAATTTTAATTTAATATTAAATAATAAGATTAAATTTGTTATTTTACGATTCGATTAAATTCAGATATTCAAACAATGTATAATAACGATTTTTAAAAATAGATTAAGATTTTATAATTAAAAATTAAAAATAACGAAATTTTATGATTTAAGCACTATATTATATTCAGAGTCACACCTTCAGAGTCGCCCAATCAGAAGTCATGGTGCCAACTGGCCCATTATCACTATTTGAGTAATGGTCATCAAAATGGGCCTAATCAAATTCAAGAGAAAGTGGGTTGACAGAAAATTTCAAGTCTTTGGACGTACTTTACCAAAAGGATAGAGCTGTGTTGGCCATTATACAATAAAATAGAAGATTGAAACCATATCATCTGAGTTTTGTATTAAATTTTCATTATCAGTTGGATGAGTTCGTTTTTCTAATCATAATGGAGTAATTTTTTTATTTATTTTTTTTTGTTTGGAACTCATTGACCAAAACTAGTTAGTGGGCCATATTAATTTTTTACTGAAAATCTTCACTTAAGACTGTGAAAGTCTTTTCTTGTCTTATAAAAGGCTTGTTAATTATTTCGAATTTTTTTCATGACCTAAATCATGTCGGATTGTTTTAAATTTTTTACTCATTGGGTTTCTTATTCTATATTTTGAGATTTTTTAGAAAGAATTTATTTTTGGACTTATTTTTTCTTAGAGGATTGTTTTAGTTTCTTTACAATATTAGGGTTTTCTTTATTATAAATATGCATATATTTTAAGAGCAAAATTTAACTTTTCATTAATAATATTTCAGATTGACTTGCAATTTTTCTTCAATTTTGTGAATTCAAAGTTGTCATCTTCTTTTGTGAACATTTCATAGCTTTGGCTACTTCATTTTTTTTTTCTCTCTCTTTGTTTTTTTTTCTCTGTCTTTTTTCCCTTTTATTTTTGTAATTTGGAACAGTGAGTGTTATCTGTTTATTTAAGATAAATCACAAAATTAAGTATTTTCTAGGACTTGCAGCCCATTGGTATCTAACACTCCCTTGTTTTGAAAAATCAACTAAAGATATAATTTTCATGGCAATAAGTTGCTTCTTCATTTTGCACAGAATTCACCCTGGATTGTGAGTTTCTTTCCCTCTTCATCATCTCTTTGTTCTTACTTTCATGTGCTTATCAATTTCTTCTTTGAATTATTATTTTTTAAAGCAGGCTCGCTTTATGCTCTGTTAGGTAGGAAAAAAAAAAAAAATTGAATGGAAGAGAAAGTATAAGAGATGGATAAGACAATCTTAAGAAAGAGATTGTGTTGTTTTCTGAACTTGACTTGACTTTGTTTTTTCATTCGAGTTATGGAGTTTTAAGAAATAAAAATAAATAAAAGGATAAAGTTAAAAATATTTATGGCTGGGGAGGTTTCCGTTTCTAAAATTTCTTTTTCTCTCATTTTTCTTTTTTTTTTCACAATTTTTTTCTTTCCAAAACTAATGATTAATGCCACTTTTGTGGCCGATTGGCATTCAATTTTATTATTATTATTTTTTTATCTATCTAAATCTATATTTATATTCATTTATTTTATCTTAATAACGCATTTTTCTTTTAACTCTTAAACCCGATTCTATTTATTCTTTCTCACACCCCTAACAAAATAAAGAATTGTGATAGGAGGTTAAACGAGGTTATGTGCCCCGAGTTGAATTTCCATGACAGAAAAATGTTGTAATTGTCACTTTTGTCCCTGTCTACCGTGAATGTAAGTATAATTATCCAAATTTAATTTGCACCTATTACACTACTTATTGTCTTCTCTTGCACCCTTTTTTATTTATTTTTATTTTTTATTTTTTTTTGTATTAACGCATTTCCATTATTTTCTCGCTCCGTTAACAGAAAAATGAAAGGTTGTCCTGATTTAGCGATATTAAATAGTTTGGGATATTTTTCAACTTCAGGTAATTTCTTCATAATTTTGTATAAAAATTTGTTGATTTTTTAATTAGTTTACTTTTTCCGTTTTATAAAGAAACAGCCAGCGGAGATTATACATTTTCACAAAATGTAGAAGCACGTTAAAAGTTGGTTATTGAATTATATATATATATCTATAAATTAGTAGGTTATTGAATTTAAAAGCACTACTACTACTACTAATGTTACGAGTCTATTTAACAATCCCGTTTATTTTTGCTTTATCAGTTATCTAATTTATTTTTAATTCGGTAAATTTAATTTATCTAAAAAATTAAATAAAATCACAAGTTACTCTTATTCATCTCTAATTGTTTTTAAATTAAAGTACACAACTTATTTTGCACCACCCTACTCACAACTCACTATGTGAACAATGTAGAAAAATGTACATATAAAAGTAATAGCATCACTGCCCTACTCACATTCTTTAACATACATATAAAAATAATAGTGTCACATAGAGAGAGGGAATAAAGATTTCTCAAGAGTGTCACCCACATTTCTAAAAAAAAGTTTGAAAAATTTTCACTTTATAAAACAACTGTAACTGTTTTACGTACTTGATATGAAATTATGCAAAAATAAAATGATTAAATCAAATATAGTTTAATAGTAGTAGTATTACGGCGCCCATTTGAATCCTATAGCAGATGCTGATATAAAAAATTATTCCTGGAACTCAATTAGTTTTTCAAAATTATATTACAAAAACTGAACAATTATCATTTGGATCCTATTTTCACTAAAACAGTGATTGCAGCACAAAGATAGTGCTCTTAGACAATTTATTGACCTTTATTAGAAAGGAATGAGTTGTTGAAGAAATTTTAGGTCATCAAAACATTTTTGATTGGTCAAAATCTATCCAAATAAAGTTTAGAGTCACCTATTGCCGTTGATTTGAGGTAGCGGAGACAAGAACGGAGGTAAGCTTTTGGGCTTGGCCAGAGAAAACGATGATGGCAGAGGAAGTAGGCACGTGTCCTCACCTGATACACTGACAAATCAACATTTTGACAAGAAGGGTAGGTACCCTTCTCTTCTTCCTCAAACACAACATGGATCCCAAACTCCTTTAGCTTAAAACCCCAATTTGATCGCCCAACGAAAAACAACGAAACATTCAATTCATCACCAGCTTCCACTGATTGATTCACAAAACTCCAATGGCTTAACCATACCATCTCGTTCCCTTCATCTGGAACGCCCATGAATGCTGGGCAATATATACACCTCAGATCCCTTGTCCTATTACTCACTTCAATCATGCAGAAGTTAGGCCAACCAGAATCCATCCAACTACCACTTTGTGCATAAACAACACATACATTCAAGCCTTGGATCTTGAAATTAGGATTTGAAGGCACCTTAAAACATATTGAAGATTCCTTGCTCTTAATGCTGAACCAGCCTGGAACTTCATTACCAGGGAGAAAAGTGCTAAATATACCCGATTCATGCAGTCCCTACACCATGTAAACCACAATTTTTAACTCTTACAAATATGAGTGTGCGTGTGTTTGTAAGAGAGAGAGAGAGAGAGAGAAACCTCACCTGGAGAGGAACTTTTCTTTCAGTTCCCGTCATAAGGTTGAACAAAGAAACTTCAATATTTCTCAGGAATTCCAAGTTGGTCAAACCCAAATTGCTGATCATCACTTCATCAAAGTTTCCAATGGGTTCCAACTTGAACAACCCCTGAACCTCACTTAGTTTGTCACAACCACCTGAAAACAACAACAGTGACTTCAACAGGTTTGGTAAATTTGTTACCACTTCCAATGACCTGCACTCATGTAACGCCAACCATCTTAAAGTCATTGGAAGCTCTGGAAGTAACTTGAGTTTTGGGCAGCAGTTTAGATCGAGTCTGTGGAGCATAGTCAGACACTTGATGCTCTCTGGTATGCTACATATTAGATTTCTACTTAGATCCAAGTTCTGCAACAGGGATAGGCAGCCAAGATCCTTTGGAATAGCATCATCTGATAGGTTGCAGCCAGCAAGACTCAAGACTGATAATGAGCGTGGTAAAGAACACAATGAAAAGCTGATCGATTCTGGTCTTCTTCTTGGTCCAAATAGACATTCCCGGAAATGTGACGGCCATGATCTTAACCCAGTAGTCATGGAGGATGATTGATTTATGCCAACTCCGTCTGCATGGAGCATTTTCAAACACTCCATCTTGCCCAGCTCTTCTGGCAAGTTCTCGAGCTTTAAACAACGAGACAGAATGAGTACTTCAAGACATTTTAGCCCGCCAATTTTCGATGGAAGCTTCCGAAGATTTTTGCAACCTTCTAGATTCAACAGAACTAGTCTCCCTAAATCCCCAATTGATCCATGAATCTCAATCAAATTTATGCAATTTTTAAGAATCAACCTTTCAAGATTGGGGGCTTGTGAGAAGTCAGGCGTATTGGTAAGACCATAAGAATGACTGAGATTGAGGATTTTCAACGATCTGAGCAACTGTTTAAAAAAGTGGAAAATATTAGTATAACACACTTGACAACCCAAGCATTTTATGAATGCACCACGCAACGGCCCATTTGGAAACTCATTTATATGAATATTTATATTAATCACCAATGAAAATAAAAGGAAGAAAAAGTTAGTTTGAGACCTTGTTTCCATTCCAAACATGTTTCAAGCTACTATTGCGCATGTCAAGGGCAACAAGACTCTCCAGGTGAAAGCCACTGGGAATAGATTCCAAAGGGAACCCACGCCAACACAACCATCTTAACTTCCTAGGGAATTCTTCGTAGTCTCCTGTGAGCCTTGTATTATTCAGCTGGAGTAGTCTTAATCTGTGCATCCTTGAAAATGCATCAGTTTGTAAATCTACTTCATCTGATGTGGAATGCGATCTTGTTGAGGCAGAATTTATGGGAAGCCAAGAGAAGAACCCTAGACGACGCCGCTTCAATGAATTGTTCTCCAATAATAATGCTGATTTGTCAAGAAAGTCTTCTGAATAGTGTCTTTTTGCATTATCTAGACCAAAGAATTCCTCGGTGGACCTATCTTCTTTAGATGCATTGAAGTTGAGGATGAGGCCCTCAATGGAATCTGTTCCCTGATAAGAGGACATGAAAAGTAAGCATACCAACTAAAAAGAATACAAATAGACATCATGAGAAACATATTTCTTACAGTTTTTTCATTTAATACACTAAAGGCATCCTTGTGATGCCACAATCTGCTGCGTTTCCCAAGTTCCTTGGGTGATTCTTGGCGGATGATTTCTCTCCCCATGTCCCGAAGCAATTGATGCATTGTCAGCGTGTTATTGTCATCAATAGTTATGAGACATCTATCGACGAGATTTTGAATCCCAACTTTTGTATAGAAACCACACCCATCTAGAATTGTAATTGTGAATTCTTTATCCTTTCTAACAAAGAAACAAGCAATATCAAGGAATAAATTTCTGTCATGGTCATCTTGTAAAGAATCAAAGCTTATTTTTATTTTCTTTAGGATCTGACTGTCAGGAATAGCTTCCAATTTCTTTAATGTGCTTTCCCACACATCTACAGGTCTGCCAGATAGGGAAGAACCTAGCACTTGAAGAGCTAAAGGAAGCCCTCCGCAGTACTGTATGACCATTTTTGACATCTCCATGTAAACTTCAATGGGATGGTCTTGTCCAAAGGCATGCCAACAGAAGAGCTGAAATGATTCACCATCATTTAATTCCTTAACTTTGTGCATCTTATAGAGTTCACGTTCCTTCAGCAATTGCTCATGTCTAGTTGTTATGATAATTTTGCTTCCTGGATAAAACCAATCTCGCATGGCGAGTACTGCATTTAATTGGTCTGATTGATCCACATCATCAAGAACAACTAAAACTCTTTTACAGCAAATAGCATGTCTAATCTTAATGATTCCTTCGTCAACACTGCTAATTTTTTCTTTTCTCCCCTTTTGAATATCTGAAAGAAGTTGTTTTTGTAAACTAACCAAACCATTGGATTGTTCTGATATTTCTCTAATATTTGCGAGGAAGCTGCTACCTTCAAATCTGTCAAAGTTTAAGTTGTAGACAGTTTTGGCGATTGTTGTCTTCCCAATTCCACCAATTCCACATATTGTCACTATGCCAACATCCGTCGATCCATCTTGAATCCACGAATTAATGTTTTTTACACGAGAATCTATTCCAACTGGGTATGGACAAACACTCAAAACCGTGCGATTCAATTTGTTCCCAATCTCTTTCACAATTTTTTGAATAAAACTTGCCTCCTGCCTACAAAATGCAATGAAAATGGATAAAGCATATTGAAAACATCATTTGTTAAAATGAAACAACAAATGATGATAATAAAAATAAAATAATACAAATTAAGTGGTGTTCAATTTTGGCCATTACTACTCGTATACAAACATAGACTGCCTAGTATTATGAAAATCTCAAATTGACATAATTTCATAGGTTATGCTAAAGATATATGAAAAAAAAAGAGAGCATGTTCACAAAATTCAAGCTCCAAGTCAGATAAGAGAGTTCATGAAAAGGGATTCATGTTGTCCACAATCCTATTTCCATTCTTTTGGCTTCATCTACTTATTTCCAGAATTTTTGTGACTGCTGAATTTATTCTCAAAGTTACTTTCTTTGTATCTTAATTCCAGATATGTTTATAATTTGTATTATACTTGTAACCTTCGCACACCTCGAGTTGTCATTCATTTAGTCATTTTAGCCCTTTCATGCTCTGTCCATCTTTTCTTTTTCCTATTTCAAACCGTTTGAAGAGAAATCTTCATATTTCTTATCATCAAATCTCTATCAGTGTTCCAGAACATCGATAAATTCAGATTCTTAGTAAAATCTAAGCAGTCTCATAAATAAGTTTATAGACTCAACATCCAATATTTGGAAACCAGTCAAACCACTATACCAGAAATCGTAAATAGGACAGTAATATAACATCCCATTTATATATCAGTTTTGGATGGTGCCAAACTTTCATATTTATCGATAATTTGGCTAAAAGTATATATATAAATTCATAAAACATTTTGATAAATGGTATATAGATGGTACTAATAATGTTTCAATACATTTCAAATAGTTTAAGCCTTTACCATTAAGAAATAATGCTTATAGTGAGTAAAATTAGCATCTATTGGCATGAATAAATTGAAAGTATTCAATCAACACTACTAACACTTAAAGGAAATTACCCATCTATTATAACCATCCCTGCCAGATCTGCAACTTCTCTCAGAGCTGCCTTCCACCTATTTATCTTGTCCAACCCCGCCTCTTTTTTTTCTTCTGTCTCTACCTTAAATTGTTCTTCGTATATAGCAAATGCGTGTGCAAAACTTCCTGTCTGCTTTCTTACATGGGATGGATCCACATGATAGAAGACGGGCAGAATCATATGACCAACAGTCTTCTTGCGCTCAAGGATATTCAAAAGCTCATCAAGACACCATCTTGACGATGCATAGTCTTTTGAGAAAACAATTATTGAAATTCTCGACTCTTGGATTGCCTTCTTTAGTTCTAAGTTGATATTCCGTCCTCTCTCTATTCCCTCATCATCTCTAAATGTGCGTATTCCTGCATGGAGTAGAGCCGCATAAAGGTGATCAGTAAAGGTATTCCGAGTATCTTCGCCTCTAAAACTCAAGAACACGTGATAAGAACATCGAGTTGAGGACGCTTCTCGGGCTCCCATAGCGGCCACTGAACAAGGCTCTAAGAGATCAATGAACAAGGGATATATGCAATCTGTACAGACAACCAGTATTTGGGTAAGGTCAAAAAAATTAAATCAACAATATTACGTAATCAAATAGGCAAAGTCAATTAAATCCTATATATGAACCGAAGTACACGAGGAAAATGCTAAAAAGGGAGATGCTCTAATGAATTATACATGAGGCAAGGGTTAAATAGAAACACAAATTTAGCTAAAGAATTTCCTTTCAACTTTATATATAAGCACTCTTCGACTTAAACAACATCATTTTCAATCTTTCCTCCAATTAAAGAATTGAGCCTAGGTAACAAAAATTCTTTTGGCATTTATTGACCTTCGATCTTTATTAATCCAAACTTATATATTAGTTTTAATCATACTTACTTACATTCCAAGCTTATTATAAATTTATGCATGGTTAATTCCTACTAGCTTAAACTTGTAGAACAAATTGGATGGTTGATTTGACAAAGAGAGACAGATATACCAAGACATCAATAACAAAGAAACCAAACCTAGTGCCTAGTTTTATTCAGGTTACACATCTATATGTAGTTTCAGCTTTTTTCATGAATGCAAACACTTACAGTAACAAATTAAACACAAACAGAACATACAAAATAAAAATTGATTAATGATCCATGTAATAAACTTGAAATATTGAACAAAGGGTTTTCAATTGTAAAGGTTACCTGTAATTAGCAAAACCCCCCAAGAACTGGATTGACCACTCCACTAAAAGATTGAATTTGTTCTGCTCACTATGAAGAGAGAGGAGAGAAGCGAAAAAAGGAGTGCCAGAGAGAATGCGAAGTGTCAAATGATAAAAGGGGAGGAAAGGAAAGGAAGGAAATAACCATTGGTGGGATCCACAGAGGAAGCTTCCCTGCCGAACAAACATTGATAATATGCTATTCCCGTTGGGACAGTTCTGAAAATGCAGAATCTATATGCTGCTTTGTTAATATATGCTATTCTCCATGTGACAGTAATTTTGATAGGGGTAGTAATTTGGTGGGTTTGGGCCGGTCGTGAATGGGCGGGACAATAATGGGTCATTAGTTCATTATCAACCCATTATGGTGGGTTAAAAATGGGTTGGGTGTCAAATGGGTCGAGCCGAACTCACACCCAACCCAATTACCCAAATTTTTTTATAAACAAATTGTCAAATATTTTTAATTCTTGAATACCAAAAAATAAAAAAATTGTTCTTGTAACAGTTTTATATTAATTTTCTAATCACTGGTGTTATCATTTTTTTTTTTTTAAAAGTCAAATACAACTTATTACTCTGCTACTATAATTAATAATATATATATATATATATATAGAAAAAGGAATTTTAACCGGTACAAACATGGTTTTAATTTCAATATTTTTTACCCAATAAAATAGAAATTGAGGTTTGTAGTGCAAAAAAAAGAAATATAGAAGTTGAGGTAACATTGCGATAGAGTGCGGTACCACAACCCAGGAAAAGAAAAGAGAAAAAACAGAGAGGAGAGAGAAAACAGAAAGAGAAAGGAAAGAGATAAAAATTCAGAGAGGCCAATTTTATTTTTTCTATATAAAATCATAATTAATAACAATAAATAAGTATCACACCATCTTCCTATATAATTGACTTCCAACCCAATTACAATGACAGGATCTCTGAGCAATGGCAGGATCTATAAACAATATTTGCAATAATTCTATATTTTAGAAAGTGACAAAATTTAATAATACTAAAAAAAAATTCGCCAAAAATTTTTTTTTTCCAAAAACTAAAGCAGTGCCAAATTTGTGAGAGAGATCAATTTAACAATAACTATGTCGGCCAATGAAATTACTTTTCAAAAAAAAAAAAAAACAAAAAATAAAAAGAAAGAGATGAAATTAATTTCTCTCTTTAAAATTTTTGAGAGAGCAAACAAAAGAGTTAAAAAAACCTTTCTCAAAAAAAAAAAAAAAGGGGGAGAAGAGAGAAAACAGAGAGAAAAAAAGGGGGAAGAGAAGAGAAAACACAGGAAAAAAAAAATGAGAAATAGAGAGAAATGGAGGAGAGAAAATATAGTTTTGTTTGAGCGAGTTGAGATGGGTACCCAATATTTACTCATTATTTACCCATGAATATAATGAGAACCCATTTTTTATCCATTAATTACACATTCATTTAAATTGATTATCCAAAAAATTTAATTTTAGTGGACAAGTTTGGGCTGTTTAATGGGTTTGGATATAAATTGTTACCCTATATTTTGACCTTAACAAAATGACGAGTTGAAAAGAAAATGTGAACGGAGTTGTATAAAATCTAAATTTTGTATTAAAATTTTCATTATCTATGCCCCGTCAAATGTTCTATGAATAACTATTTATACTACGAATTTTTTCTTTTCTTTTTTTAATTTTCTTTTTTATAATTTGGACCATGGAGAGAGTTATTTGTTTATTCACGGAAAATCACAAAACCATGTAAATTACCGTGTAATTTTATGTTAAGGTACATATATATAATATATATATTTTTTTTGTAAGACCATGAACTTAAGAAGGGTAATGTGATGTGATATCTTCTTAGGGCTAGGATTTTTTATGCTTACTATGGGGCTGGATTTCTTTTATAAAAAATACATATATATGAACACTACTCTGCTAAATATCAACAAAAGACTGAATTTATTATGCTCAATCATGAATGATGAAGAGAGAAGCAAAAAAGGAGTAGTGAGAAAGAGAAGGGAAAATGTCAAATTATAAAAGTAGGGGAAAGGAAAGGAAAGGAAAGAACTATTGGTGGGATCCACAGGGAAAGCTTCCCAGCAACTGGGCAACCAAACATTGATAATATGCTATTCTCGGTGGGACAATTGTGAAAAGCATGATACAATTACAATCTAAGTCATACAGTTCTTCTCAACACGTATCGCTCTCACGTTCGGAGTGCTCTCACGCTCTGCACGCGCTCTCGCTCAAATTTTCAATATTTATTATATAATTTTGCCGCTCTTACGCTCCCACTTCATGTAACTTAGATTACAATATGCTTATCCGCCAACCTGTAAATAAGATAGTTCTTGACCCGAACAAGATGATACAGAGTAAAAAGGAGTGGAGAAGAAAGGAAAGAGCCATTGGTGGGATCCACAGGGAAAGCTTTCCTACAAGTGGGCAACCAAATATTGATAATATGTTATTCCCGGTGGGACAGTTCTTGACCCTAGCAAAATGAAGAATTGAAAAGAGAATGTGAACAGAGTCAATTAGGTTAAGGTATTATTATTATTATTATTATTATTATTATTATTTTAAGACCATGAAGTTAAGAAGGATAATGTGATATGATATTTCGCAACAATTTTTTTATGCATACTGTGGGGGTGTGGTATTAGTCTAGACAGAACGAAAATATATGCGAAATAACATCAAAATTTTACTAGTATATAGCTCCAAAGAAATTTAAAAAAACTAACTAAAAGTTAACAAAAATAACTTATCGATTAATTTTTGACAAATTATTTTATTCACCGGACTAGGCCTCAATTTCAACTTCAACCAAGATCTTTACCAAACACCAAAAAATAAAAATAAAAATATATAATTTACCTAAAAATGGATTATTGTATTTGTTCTTCAGGTTTATGGTTTTAAGAGATTATGTAATTTCCAAAATTGATGAAACAAATGAGCCTAAAAACAAGTTTAAGACTATATGCTTATACTATTACTGTAGTACATAAACTATAAAAGCCCCTTTGTTTAGATGTAAAATATTTTTCAAAAAATATATTTTTTATTTTCTAATATTTGGTTGTCATAAAATATTTACGAAGAAAAAAAAATACTAAAAGTTAACAAAAATAACTTACCTATCAATTTTTGACAAGTTATTTTATTAGCCGGGCTAGGCTTCTACCTCAACTTTAACCTAAATCTTTATCAAACACCAAAAAATAAAAATATATAATTTACCTGAAAAAGGACAACGAAACAAATAAGCATAAAAACAAGTTTAAGGCTATATGCTTATACTATTAGTCTAGTACATTAAAAACAAGTTTAAGGCTATATGCTTATACTAATACATTAAAACAAGTGTAAGGAAATACATGTGATTCTTTCAAATTATTATATTCTTTTATCGGGATTAAAAGACAGGAAATGCATGTGTGAAACGCTGGGAATGACCAACAATAAACAACACATAGAGGATGGAAGTACTTAGAAAACATATAGCATCTCTAATCTTAATGATACAGTCTAATCAATAAAGTAGAAGGAAATGAAGCAAATTATCTTATGAAGTTTTATATTTACAGAAAAACTAGATACAGGGTCTCTAAATCAAATAGTATCTAATTGAGCTACCTTTCAAAAAATTTTAAAAGTGGTTGGATATCCAAACAAATAATAAAGGCTCAAACGCGCCACAATTTTAATTTAACTAATTACACCAGGTTTTTTTTTCTAAAATTGGTTTGAATTCTCATTGTGCAGCATTTGTTTTAAGTACAAGTCCACTAAACTTTAACATAACCCATGTAATTCTCACAATATTCCAGTCAAGTCAATTGTAATTAACCAAATTTAATCTCAATTATTTGTCGTATGCTATATGAATCCCATTTCACCATTGCTCTTTCTAAGGTTAATTAAAACTTCAATAAAACTACATGAACTCGTGTTAGTTTTGTCATTTTATAAACTTTTTATTTCTTAAATGACAAACATTCTCTCCCATAAAACATGACTAGTAATAACTATTGTGTCTGAGAGTGTTGGGATTTTGGCAGAATTTCATTGGTTGAATGATACAATTGTGGTCGTCAATTGTATGACCGTGTGGACGGCTTAATGCTCAAGCTAAGGGTTTGATAAGGCAATAAGCAAACTTTCAGGAAAGTAATTGATAAGGAATGAATTGTTTTGTATAAAGCGTGTTATGCAGCAAAAGATGTAGATCTTGAGAGATCCCACGGTAATCCCAGAGTGATCCAAGCATTACACAATCTCCAAATCATTTTTTGGAAAAAAAAGAGAATAAATCCTCCATTTTTATACCACATATCCTATTTTGACACCAAGAAATGAAGTACTTTCTACAAATAGAAAAGAATATTCAGAAATTCAATGTCATTTGTAATAAGAGTCTTTTATTACAAAATTTTTCTTTCATACCTACAATTCTGATCAAGGGAGATAGAGTCATAATAAGTTATATTAGTTTTTTGTGTGAAGAAAATCCTTTTTGTGTGCAATCTTCAAGAGAGATATTTGAAGTTTGTCTTTTGATGGATTTTCTAGTTTACATAAACCATATAATTATTGGGGATTTTTCTTGAGAGAGTTTGGTGAGCTTTTCTTCGTTTGGTGGGTGACGTTTTGTAAGAAGAGGGATTATTGTCTAGAAGAACCAAAACGTTCTTCAATTTGTAATTTTCTTCTATATAGTGATACAGATCATCATTGCCCATAGATGTAACCCTATTTGGGTCGCCTCCGCACAAGAAGATTGGTGTCAGAAAATTGGTATCAGAACTTCCCGTGCCCGACAGGGAGCACCGAATTGGCTCCTATTTGGTGCTCCCAAACTTAGCTAAAATATTTCCTTTCAACTTTATAGACTTGAATTGATGACATAACACCATAAGTACACTTCAACTTAACCAACATCATCTTCCATCTTCCCACCTATTAAAGAATTGAGGAGAGGTAATAAAAATTCTTTTGCTATTTCTTGACCTTTGGTCTTTATTACATCTCCATATATATATTTTCAACTTTACTAAATTTATACATTCAATTTTAATCTTACATTTACATTCCATACTTATTTGAAATTTAGCATGGCTAATTCTTACTAAGCTTAAACTTTTAGAAGAAATCGGATACTTGATTTGACACAGAGAGAGACAGAAATACCAAGACATCAATATGGGTCAAACATCAAGAACGAAAGCTTTATTCAGGCTACAGATCTACATGTAGTTTCAGCTTTTTTCATGGATGCACACACTTACAACAACAGATGAAACAGAAACAAAACATACAGCATAATAGAATAAAATAAAATTTGATTAATGAACATAGAAAATAAACTTGAAATGTAGAGCAATGGATGTTCAATTGTAAAGGGTTACCTGTAATTAGCAAAATACCCCAAGAAATGGATTGGTCACTCCACTTAAAATTTGAATTTGTTCTGGTCACTGATGAAGAAGGGGGGGAGAATAAAAAAGTGGAGCGAGAAAGAAGGGGAAGTGTTCAATGATAAAAGGGAAGAAAAGGAGAAGGGGAAGCGGGAATAACCGGAGTGGACTTTGACGAATCGGACAATTTGTGACACGTGGCATGATGTCTAAGTTTACGGATTTAATGATGCCACGTGGTGTGACACTATATTTTTGAGTTATTTTTTTATTTATTTAAATTGTCTTATTATTTTGGTATATGCGATTGCCCTAGTCATCATAGGACCGACCAGAGTTCTTTAATCTCTCTTTGATCTCCATGTATATCTGATGAGACATGCTAGGCTGGCAATTATCAATTAACTTCATTAGTTGACGTCAAGGCAGGGTCAGAATTGGAACTTTATTTTAGTGGGGATAATTTTTTATTTTTTATTTGTTGTGTTGTTGTGGCTTTTGTAAGGGAAATTTTAAGAGAACAAGAGATTGATGGACATGTTAGACGGCTTATGTTGGGAAATTTTAAAATTTCTCCTTTCTATTTTGAGAGTGAGTCAATCACCCAATACACTGCTCTTCAACTTAACCAAAATCATTTTGGTTTTTCTTGACCTTCGTGTCTTTATTACATCTCTATATGTATTTTCAGATTAAATCATATGATTACTTATTTACATTCCATACTAATTTTTAAAATTATACATCATTATTCCTACTAGCATTAGAATAAATTGGATACTTGAACTAACAGAGAAACAGATATACCAACGCATCAACACGAAAGTTTCAACTTTTTTTATGGATGCATACAATTACAGGAAGAAATTAAACAGAAATCGAATGAGTAAAATAAAAATTGATGAATGAAATATTGAGCAATGGGTGTTCAATTATAAAAGGGTTACCTATAATTGATCACTCCTCGAAAAGGTTGAATTTGTTGCGGTGACCGATAAAAACAGAGAGAAAATAAAAAAGGTGGAGCGAGAGAGAAGGGAAAGTGTGAGGAAAAAGGAACGAAAGAAGCATCGGTGGGATCCACAAACTTTGATTTTACGTTGAAGATCAATCCGTTAATTCTAAATGGCATTATCTAATAAACTCGCGAAACTTGCAGGCAATTTCTTCGTCTCACATGCAGTAGAAAAGGTGACCATTTCGCAAAACTTGACCTGACTGGAACAGTATTGAACAACTTGACTTGACTGGAATAGTGTAAAGACTATCGTCAACTTTTGATGCCTCTGTGTTTTTTTTTCTCCTTTTTTTCATTTTCAACAATTCTTTTCACATTTTCTTTTCCAACACTAATGATTAATGCCACTTTTGTACCCATGTTTTTTGTTCATATAGATCATTTATATATAATAGTGTACAATTGCTACAACACGTTTAACTATAGTTTTAGGATCTAATTTACAGTTAATAAAAAATTATTATTTTAAAAATTATTAATTTTTTAATTACATATGAGGGAAATTTTTTATAATAAAAAAATTAATATTCTTTAATTTGATGTAAAGTGTCAAGATCTTCATCTACTAACACCATCACCTCTACTATCATCATATAAGATTTGATTAATCTTTTTTTTTTAATTGATGTTTACATACATGTCTTTACTGAAACTTAAACGTCTGACCTCGCTTTAAGAAGTAGGAATTTAATACAATTAGACACTAATTCATTGGTGATTAACATTTTTTCTTCTGTGTGCATGAATTAAAAAAACCCAAAGAAAATCATCAATGTAAAACTTGCATAGACACCTGCAGAATGTGAAAAGTTGATACTAAGAATATAAAAAGAAAGGGACCACCTACACCGTCACTGCCACAGCTGCCTCGATCCGGTACCACCATTACCATAACACCACCACCACCCAAGAGGTCACTGCCACCTATTTAAAAAGAAGAAGGTAGAGTTAGAAATATAAATTTAAGGTATAAATAGTAGTGAATCATTCTTTCTTTATTAAAAGATTTTCTTTTTGTTAATAAATTAGAAGATTTTCTTTATGTTAATAAATTAAAAGATATTTATGCTTCAATTAATGAGATATTATCTATCTAAATCTATATCTATTTTCATTTATTTTAATTTAATAATGTATTTTTAATTTTCTAAAATATATATATTTTTTCAATAAACATATAGAAATACAATTTTTTTTTTTTTCACATCCCTAACCAAATCAAGACTTGATAGGAAATGTGAACCGAGTTAACGAGGTTGATTACGTCAAGTGTTCTATGGATAGCTATTAAATGCTATATTTTTAGGGCTTCTCTTTGAAAATTCATGATCATCCATATATGGGTGTAATATATGTTTATAAATGAAAAAGATATTAAAGATTTTTAGCAAAGTGAATCTATGGTAATTCGTTTTTTAGGTTATTCAAGAATTAAATATATTTTTAGGTAGACGTGTGTTGTAGAACTATTGTAGAAGTGTCACTTTTATCTCTATATGTAAGTATAATTATCCCAAATATATTGCAACTATTACACTCTTTATTATTATTATTATAATTTTTTTTTTTTTTTTTAACATAGGGTATTTCCATTTTTTCTTGCTCAAGGTTGTCCTTATTTTGAGCGATATTGAATCATTAGGGTATTTTTCAACTTCGAGTAATTTCTTCTCAATTTTATATAGCAAAGTGTTGTATTTAAAAAAATTAATTTACTTTTTACATTATACAGTATAAAGAAACAGTCATTGGGGATTATACCTTTTCACGAAATCTAGAAGCACTATGTTAAGGGTCAGTTTACCGATCACTTATGTTTTATTATTATTATTATTTTTATTTTTATTTATTTTTTGGCTGCGGGTAGTGCATTGTGACGAAGAAAAAAAAAAAGGGAAAAACTCTAAATTGCCTTTTTATTTTTTTCTAGCCATTTGGTTTTTTAATTTTGTACCACTTTTTAGTTAAATATGTTTTCATGCTTTTGCTACAGAATTTCATACAACTTATTTTATGTTAATGTTCTGATTATTATTGAATACACTCAACAACCGGTGAAACTTAGAGGTTTCCAATGCACCTATCTGGAAACTTTATTGGTTTATATGAGTAGTCTTGCACCTATCTGGAAGCTACATGAGTGAATAAAATTTTTGGTTAGAACATATGGATTTATTCTCTTGAACGAGGCTCACCCGGTGGATAGAACATCGCCGGCCTTCCGGTCAGTTAGGAGATCTCTTTAGAACCTAACTCTGATATCAATTGTTGAATTATGGGTATCCAACCCAAAAGATTAACTTATTAAATTGAGTGACTCTTACCCCTTATAAGTTCCAAATTTTCTTTTTTTCTAACCGATGTAGACTAATTCAACTACCACTCAACATACGTACCTGTAATAAGATGGCTGAAACACAATTTTGATGTTACATTTAAAACTATTTTATGTTATCTAAATCATCTTTTCTTTCTAAAAAGTTTATTTTTCTTCTTCCTAGCAGGCTAGCTCCTCTTTTGAAGTATGTGTTTTACTTTTAACAATCAACAAATCAAATTAAAATCATAAGTTACTTTTAAATTATATCTTTGTAACGGAAGAAAGCACAAACTGCCATTTTAAGATTAATTTAAAATAATAATAAAAAAAAAAAGAACACAAAAAAGAACAAATTAAAGTAAACATGTATACAAAACATCCCAAATAGAATAAGATTCCATTTATACATAAATACAGAAAAGCACAACTACGTACAGTGAATAAATTTAAAACACCAAGTACTATTTTCTGATTATATTTATTCTTTTTTTTTTTCTTTTTTTTTTTTTCACATCCCTAACCAAATCAAGACTTGATAGGAAATGTGAACCGTGTTAATGAGGTTGATCACCTCAAGTGTTCTATGGATAGCTATTAAATGCTATATTTTTTTTTTCTATGATAAATCACATAGCTCAGTGGCTTCTCTTTGAAATATCATGATCATCCATATATGGGTGTAATATATGTTTATAAACGAAAAAGATATTAAAGATTTTAAGCAAAGTGAACCTATCGTAATTCGTTTTTTTAGGTCATTCAAAAATTAAATATATTTTTAGGTACGCGTGTATTATATAGAACCATGGTAAAAGTGTCACTTTTATCTCTATATTTATTTCAAATTCTTACAAGAAATTAAGATTATATATTCTCTTTATTTAAATAAAATTCTTAGATGACCCATTTTAGACACCACGTTATGATTTGTTACTTATATTTTAATTAATAATAATAAAACAACACAATCCAGCTTATGAAAATAATATTTGTATATGCTGACCCTAATTTTTTATACTAGGATTTCTTCATTTAATACACATGTTTGTAATTGTATGTCATTTGAATTATTTTTTTAGTGGCGATCATGATCTGATGAAGTTTAGTTACCTTGGTGAAGTTGGAAGAGATGAGGTTGAAATTAAATATTGGAATTTATAAAATCAAATATACAGATCGCGATTGTGTTTTAATAACCTGCGACAAGCACTTGCAAGATTGTATGAGTCCATCCAATTCATTGGGCATGAATACAATCAAAATTTTCATTGAGCCCAATTGCTAATTATGCGTGTATGTTCCTAACTGTGTGTTGATATCAATTTATGATCTAGTTGTTTGGGCTTGACTTCTCATTGGAATTGAACCTCAAATGATTCATTTATTTCTTGTATCTGGAGTGGCATGTCAATTAAGTATATAGAAATGAAATGTATCTCCAAATGAAATGGAGATACAAAATAGAAACATAATTTTTTTTTCATGTAATAAACTTGGAATATTGAGCAAAGGGTGTTCAATTGTAAAAGGGTTACCTGTAATAAGCAGAATCCCCCAAGGGCAAAGGGTGTTCAGTTGAATTTGTTATGCTCTATGATGAAGAGAGAGAGGAGAGAAGCAAAAAGTAGTGAGAGACACGATGATAAAGGGAAAGGAGTAGCGAGAAAGAGAGAAGGGAAAGTGGTCAAATGATAAAAGGAGTGGAAAGAACCATTGGTGGGATCCACAGAGGAAGATTCCCGGCGAGTAAGTGTGAAACCAAACATTCATAATATGATATTATTCCTGTGGGACACTTCTTGACCG